ATACCGAATCACATCATCTCTCACCTTCTTTCTCCATCCTTATCTCTTCTTGTTTAGGGCCGTATGAGGGAAGATGGGCACCAGAGTCCTGACCAATTCCCTCACTAAATTATTCTGTCCTAGGGGATTGTTGCTATGGCCCAACCTCCAGACTTACAATAAATCAGCAGAGGCTCCCTCAGCTATAGCTCATTCAGCAAATCATGAATTCACTCACCATGAACCAAGCATGGTTCTAGGTGCTGGAGATAAAGTGGTGAACAAACAACTAAGGTCCTGCCCCTGGTGGGAGCTCACTGTCAACTGGGGAAGGCAGCCCTTAAACAAATCCAACACATGGGCTCGGCGCCTATAGCTCAACCGGCTAAGGCGCCAGCCACGTACACCTAAGGTGGCGGGTTCGAATCCCCAGCCCGGACCCGCCAAACAACAATGACGGCTGCAACCAAAAAATAGCCGGGCGTTGTGGCGGGCGCCTGTGGTCCCAGCTACTTGGGAGGCGGAGGCAGGAGACTCGCTTGAGCCCAGGAGTTGGAGGTTGCTGTAAGCTGTAATGCCACGGCACTCTACCCAGGGGGACAGCTTGAGGCTCTGTCTCAAAAAAAAAAAAAAAAAAAAAAAAAACAAATCCAACACATGAATAAATATGTATTAAGAAACCACAGTGAAGGTAATAAGAGGTAGGGAGAAAAGAGCAGAATCCAACTTAGAAGACCTCTTTGAGGAGGCATGGAGGCGAGATCCTTAAAAGATGAGAAGTCTTCCACACAAACAGCCTAGGCCTGGGGAAAAGCCCTCCAGGCAGCAGGAACAAAATGGTCAAAGGTCCTCAAAGTGGAAGGGAACACAGTGTCTTCAAGAACTGACAGGAAAGCAGTGGGGCAGAGCCTAGAGCAAGTAAGACAGCAGCTCAACAGGGAATGAGAGGCAGGGGCAGGACCTTGTTGACTGAAGTAAGGAATTTGAATTTGTTGTAAGTGGACCTTTTTTTTTTTTGAGACAGACTCTCACTTTGTCACCCTGAGTAGAGTGCCATGGGTTCACAGCTCAGCAACCTCAAGCTCTTGTGCTTAAGTGATTCTCTTGCCTCAGCCTCCCAGGTAGCTGGACTACAGGCGCCCACCACAATTCCTAGCTATTTTTTTGTTGTTGTAGTTGTCATTGTTGTTTAGCAGGCCTGGGCCAGGTTCGAACCTGCCAGCCTGCCAGCCTGCCAGCCACGGTATATGTGGCTGGTGCTTTAACCACTGAGCTATGGGCACCGAGCCTGTAAGTGGACTTCTAATGCCTTCTACTATCTCTTGTCAGCACTAGTGAAGAAATAAGCAGCCTTATTCTGCTAATTCTACACCCTATGATGGTGATGAAAGGTTGGAGGCTCAAGAAATTTGACATAGTACATACAAATCACCAAAAAGATTGTCAGCTTTGGCTGGGAGTGGTGGCTCACACCTGTAATCCTAGCATTCCGGGAGGCCAAGGCAGTAGAGTCACTTAAGCTCAGGAGTTTGAAACCACCCTGAGCAAGAGCAAGACCCTATCTCTACAAAAAACAGGAAAACTAGCCAGCCATAGTGGCATGAGCCTGTAGTTCCAGCTATTCAGGAGGCTGAGCCCAAGAGTCTGAGGGGTCAGTGAGCTATGATAACATCACTGTACTCTAGCCCAGGTGACAGAGACTTTGTCTCAAAAAGCAAAAAATGATTGTCAGCTTCAGCTCCTTCTCTCTAGGTGAGTAACCTCTAAACTCATCTGACCCCACAGCCCAGGGATTGGGTAGGTGATGCCCTACAGTGATCACAGAACCACAAAAATAAATTCATTAATTCTATGGTCATTGTGCCTGTTGCATATGGACTCCTTAGTCTACTTAGATAGCTTGCATCTCTCTAGGTGGAGTATTGGTTTACCACTTAAATATGTACAAATAACGGTAATAAAAGGAAAAGAATAGTAAAAACCACAAGAGGGTTTGTTATGTCTCAGACAGCTGAGAGAAGGATGGACCCCACTTCAGATGTAATTAATTAATTGAAATTTATTAGGAATTTAATACACCTGCAGGTGCACCTACAGGGGGCTGTTGTGGTGGGCCAACAAGCAGCCACAAATGGCAAATTCAAAAAGTTTATATACTGTTATTCTGCATAGTCATGCATGGTCAGTAAGCTAGCGCAATACAGACGCCAATCATAGCGGTTAATGCAGGGTTGCAGGGTAGGGATACATGTTGATTCATAAATCACAAGATACATCACAAGTACATGACCTCGTGGGTCATAAGATGGGGGTCACATAGTTCAGGGGTGTTGGGTAAGTTTCCGAGAACAACTTGGGACCTTTTCACCTGGGGCTTTATTTGGAATCCATCCCTCCCTTCCTCCTTTTCTTATCTTCAAGCTTCTTCCTAGAATTTAACTCCTCCACCCTTATAGGGGCTGAAACTAAAAGACTTTTTTTTTTTTTTTTTTTTGAGACAGTGCCTCAAGCTGTTCCCCTGGGTAGAGTGCTGTGGCATCACAGCTCACAGCAACCTCCAACTCCTGGGCTCAAGCAAGTCTTCTGCCTCAGCCTCCCAAGTAGCTGGGA